GAGGAGGTGTTGTCGTTGATGGTGAGGAGGCATCCGGGCGGGTTGTAGACTAGGCGGCTCGAGGATGTTTAGATGTAAATGGGAGCCAGGGAGATGGGTCTGAGGTTGTTCGGGGTCATTGGGGTCACAGGGAGGGCTTTTTAAGTATGGGGGTGATGTGTGCATGTTTCAGAGGGGGAGGGGAAAGTGCCTGAGGAGAGGAAGAGATTGAAAGGTGGGGTGAGGGAGCGTAGGATGGAGGAAAATATAGGAGGTGATGTAGGAGTTGTGAGGGGATTAGGGGTCGAGTGGGGCAGGTGGTTTGAGGCGGGCATCAAGAGGAAATAATTGGAGGACTTCCTCGATGGTAGTAAGGTCAAAGGTGCGGAGTGTTGGGGGGCAGCTTCAGTATGAGGAATGTAGGGTGGGGTGGAAAGTGGAGGTCAGAAGCAGTGGTGGGGCCGTGGGAGATCCCCGGGAGTGATGGAGGGGGTAGCTGAGGTGAGGGGTAAAGGGGGTTGGAGTGAGTTTGAGCAGCGACGTTAAATCCCTGCGGGTTAAGTCGAGGGGGAGTGGGGATAGGGGGGTAGCTGTGTTAAAATATGTATAAAAAAGAGGAGGGGACAGGTTGAGAGGGCGTGATGAGTTGCTGCAATGTCCTTGATAAATTTGTGTCAATTTTGTTTTTGAAGTGATTGGCAATCTCAAGGGCAGTGAGGAGGTGCTGGGGTGGAGGTGGGGGTGGAGGAGAGTAGAGAGTTTGGAAGGCAGAGAAGAGTCGGCGAGGATTGGAGGAGGAGAGGGCCTTGATGAGGGTCAAGATGTAGGCCTGTTTGGCAGCATGGAGGGAAGGAGGCCCGTGTAGTTGTGCGGAAGGCAGAATTTTGTAGCGTGAGTGAAGGCTATTTTTGGATTTGGTTTTGCGGCCATAGTCGCTCCAGGGCACGACTTTGTGTTTGAGGGTTTTTTTGGTGTGATCAGTCTGCCAGGGCTGGGAAGCGGTCGTGGGTCTGATGTGTGCGTGTGGTTAAAGCGGCGCTAGTGAGTCAAGGGCTGTTGAGCGAGCGCGTTGTTGTAGGCGGAAAAGCCAAGTCGGGGCAGGACAGGGGACGGAGGATCGGTCGCATGGAGGATTGATCAGCTGCAGAGTGGAGGGAGCAGGATTAAGGTATGCGGAAGGGTTAGGGGCTGGTAGTAGTTGTGACATTTGGAGGGGTAGGCGTTGGAGGACGAGGAGATAGAGAAGCCCGTTATCAGGTTGTGGTCAGAGAGAGGGAAGGGGGTGTTAGTGAGGTTGTGGGGAGACTGCATCGGTTGGAGAAGACAAAGATCAAGGATATTTCCGGGTTCGGAAGTGGGGTGGTGGATTGTATGCACCTGTTGCAAGTGACAAAGGAAGGAGGTTAGGTGGAGGAGACGGGCTGTGTCCGGGTTGTCGAGGTTTGGACAGGGATGGTTATAAAATCCCCAAGGGAATCTATGGTGGGTAGCTCAGAGGAGAGGCAAGAAGGGTAGCCAGGGAGGATGAAGTCATCTAGGAAGCGGGGTATGGATCCTGGAGGCCGGTATATCACAGCAATCTACAGTGGGGGATTGGGGGAGAATAGTTCGGAGGCAGTGGGCGGCGAAGGAGGTTGGAAGAAAGGATAGGGAGGATGGGGGTTTGGGAGGACTCGGAAGGGTGCTCTAAATTGGTGACAGCGGAGCAGACCAAACCCCACCACACATTTACGACCGTTAGGCCTGGGTGGAGTGGGTCCAGGTGAGAACCTCCGTTAGGAGAGTGCAGCAGGGGAGGTTAGAATCAGTGGGCAGGATCCAGGTTTCCGTAATCGCTAAGAGGTTGGGAGGGGGAGCGGGAAACAAAAGGGGTCGTGGGATAGGCAGGTTAAGACTTGTTGGCACACCGGAACGGGCGTTCAGGAGGTGCACATGAAAACGGGGGGGAGATTTTTAGGGAGCAGGGGAAACAGATAACTAAGGTTGCGGGTCCTGGTTGCAGGTAGGAACGTGGAGGTGGAGGGTGTTGAGCGGGTGAGGGAGGTGGTAGGGCCAGGATTCGGGGAGATGTCCCCCCGGTTAGAGAGGAGGAGAAGGGTGAGAAAGGTGGCTTGGGAGCAGGATGTGCTTTTGGAGCGTTGAATTAAGAAACTCTAGTGGATGGTGTTGGGTTTTCAGTGGGAGAGAGTCGGAGTAATAGGAGAGGGTGGTGGGTACCATAGAGGGGGTGAGGGGAAGCTAGCTTGAGGACACGAAATACAAATGTTTGGGAGGGGGCAGAGGATATAGTGAATGGATTTTGGGAACGGAAGGAGAGGAAAATGAGAAGGAGGAGTGGATGAGACATTTTGGGGAGGTGAAGAGAGCAGTAGTAGGGAGATGATAGCAGTGAGGGGGAGATGTACATTATGTGGGGTGGAGCAGAGGGGTAGGGAAATGAGATTTGGGAACAAGATTTTTTTTAGTAATATGATGGAGAAGAGGGGCGTATTATATAAAGGTACACAGAGTGGGTCTTCAGGCATGTAATGAGGTTTTCAGGGTGTTTTGCTTGCAGTTCTTCCAGCGTGCAGGAGAGCTTTCTTGCTGTTGTTGTGTCTTCCTGCTCGCTTGAGTTCTTCCTGCTTTATTTTTAGAATTAAAACTGCTGCGTTTTAACTGATTTCTTCTATGCATTTATCGTTCGAAGCCGCACTCTGCTGCGTTTAACTGCTTCTTCTATGCACTCGTATTCGAAGCCGCAATTCTGCTGCGTTTAACTGCTTCTTCTATGCACTCGTTCGAAGCCGCACTCTGCTGCGTTTAGCTGCTTCTTCTATGCACTCGTTCGAAGCCGCACAACTCAATCTGAAGCAGCACCCATCAGAGACTGTGCCCCCATCAGAGATCTCCCCCATGAGCTGATCTAAATTTATAGGAGATGCTCAAATGAGCATTCAACTCCTCCACCCCCAATTAGAAGCTGATAAAGATCACATGGAGGGAGTGGGGGATGATTCTCTCAGGAAACAGACACCAGTGTAAAAGGGTGCAACTGAAGGTTGAGAGCTGATCAACATATACAAAAAATATAAATACACCATTTGTTCTGAATATAGCAGGAGTCAATGCGTTTTGGAAAATTTAAGAGTGGAGTAGGAGAAAGGAGCATTTACCCAGGATGAAGGAAGGCAGCAGCAGGAGTCAATGCGTTTTGGAGTTAAGAGTGGAGGTAGGAGAAAGGAGCATTTACCCAGGAGGAAGGCAGCAGGAGTCAATGCGTTTTTGGAGTTAAGAGTGGAGGTAGGAGAAAAGAGCATTTACCCAGGAGGAAGGCAGCAGGAGTCAATGCGTTTTGGAGTTAAGAGTGGAGGTAGGGAGAAAAGGAGCATTTACCTGTGAAAGTAGAGAAGGGCATAATTAGATTGCTGCGTTTAACTGCTTCTTCTATGCACTCGTTCGAAGCCGCACTCAATCACACCCCCATCAGAAGACTGTGCCCCCCATCATAATATACAAAAAATATTTCTAAAAATACATTTCAAAATATACCATATGTCTTTAAAAATGCAAATCTACACTTTTTGGAATGCAATATAGGAATATATGTAAAAAATATGTTAAAATGACTTTTTATATATTTTTAAAAATCTGAAGAATATATTTAAAACATATATTTTTTAGAAATAAATATTTTTAAAATATATTCTTCAGATTTTTTTTAACATAAAAAAGTAATTGTAACATATATTTTTACATATATTTGTAAATGCATTCCAAAACTGTAGATTTGTATTTGTAAAGACATGCAAGTATTTACTTATTTATTTATTACAGGTACTTATATTGTGCCATCAATTTTGCAGCGCTTTACATATATATTGTACATTCACATCAGTCCTAAACCCTCATATTTCAATTTATTTTTAAAAAATATTTTTCATATATTTTTGTAAAAAAAAAAATTTCAACATAAACAGTATTATAAAATAAAATTAATGAAAATATTTTGAAATATATTCACTATAGTCAAAATAGTAGCATTTCAAATATATGTCAATATATTTTGGGAAGAATTTAGGAGCATTTAGCTTTTTTTTCAACTGGAAAAAAGCTCCAAAAACACTACAAAAACTATTTTTTTCTGCTCCTAGGCACTGAAGCTCAAAAATGCTAATAGCATTAAAGGAGTGTGCATGTGATCAGCACATGGCCAATCAGCACTGTCCAGACAGAGGTCAGGGTTCTACATCTTCCTAGAGCAGAAAGAAAAAACTCTTTTCTGCTGAAGTCACAAGACTGCTCTAAACTGCTGATGGGAAAAGGTATTTAGCAGTTTATATTTACTAAAATAATTGCATTTCCATGTTCTGTGTACTGTGGGAGACCGGATATAGTGAATGCAGGATCCTGGGAGACCAGATATAGTGAATGGAGGGTCCGGTGGGGAGACCAGATATAGTGAATGCAGGCGGGTCTGGGGAGACCAGATATAATGAAATGCAGGGTCCGCGGAGAGACCAGAATATAGTGAATGCAGGGTCCGGGGAGACCAGATATAGTGAATGCAGTGTCCGGGGAGACCGGATATAGTGAATGCAGGGTCCTGAGAGACCAGATATAGTTGAAAGCAGGGTCCGGGGAGACCAGACTTAAGTGAGTGCAGGATCTGGGGAGACCGGATACAGTGAATGCAGGGTCCGGGGAGACCAGATATAGTGAATGCAGGGTCCGGGGGGAGACCGGATATAGATGAAAGCAGGGTCCGGGGAGACTGGATATAGTGAAAGCAGGGTCTGGGGAGACCTGATATAGTGAGTGCAGGGTCTGGGGAGAACTGATATAGTGAATGTGGGTCCAGGGAGACCTGATATAGTGAATGTGGGGTCGGGGAGACCAGATATAGTGAATGCAGGGTCCAGGGGAGACCAGATATAGTGAATTCAGGGTCCGGGGAGAACCTGATACAGTGAATGTGGGGTCCAGGGAGACCAGATATAGTGAATGCAGGGTCAGGGAGACCAGATATAGTGAATCAGGGTCCGGGGGAGACCAGATATAGTGAATGCGGGGTTCGGGGAGACCAGATATAGTGAATGCAGTGTCCGGGGAGACCAGATATAGTGAATGCAGGGTACCCGGGGAGACCGGATATAGTGAATGGCAGGGTCCAGGGGAGAGCAGGATATAGTAAATGCAGGGTCCGGGAGAGCAGATATAGTGAATGCAGGGGTCGGGGGAGACCAATATAGTGAATGCAGGGTCCGGGGAGAGCAGATATAGTGAAATGCAGGGTCCGGGGAGACCAGAGATATAATGAAATGGTCCAGGGTCCCCGGGGAGACCAGATATAGTAAATGCAGGGTCCGGGGAGACCAGATAGAGTGAATGCAGGGTCCGGGGAGACCAGATATAGTGAAATGCAGGGTCTGGGGGAGGACCAGATAATAATGAATGCAGGGTCCGGGAAGAGAGACCAGATATAGTGAATGCAGGGTCTGGGGAGACCAGATTATAGTGAATGCAGGGTCCTGAAGAGACCAGATATAGTGAATGCAGGGGTCCGGGGAGACCAGATATAGTGAGTGCAGGATCTGGGGAGACCGGATACAGTGAATGCAGGGTCCGGGGAGACCAGATATAGTGAATGCAAGGGTCCGGGGAGACCGGATATAGTGAAAGCAGGGTCCGGGGAGACTGGATATAGTGAAAGCAGGGTCCGGGGAGACCAGATATAGTGAATGCAGGGTCTGGGGAGACCAGATATAGTGAGTGCAGGGTCTGGGGAGACCTGAATATAGTGAATGTGGGGTCCAGGGAATAAAAGACCTGATAAAGTGAATGTGGGGGTCCAGGGAGACAGAAATAGTAAAAAAAAGTGCAGGGTCCGGGGAGACCTGAGTTATAGTGAATTCAGAGTCCGGGGAGACCTGATATAGTGAATGTGGGGGTCCAGGGAGACCAGGATAAGATATAGTGAATGCAGGGTCCGGGGAGACAGATATAGTGAATTCAGGGTACTTCCGGGGAGACCAGATATAGTGAATGCGGGGTTCCGGGGAGACCGGATATAGTGAATGCAGGGTTCCGGGTGAGACCGGATATAGTGAATGCAGGGTCGGGGAGAGCAGATATAGTGAATGCCAGGTCCAGGGAGAGCAGATATAGTGAATGCAGGGTCGATTTTCTGTCTTTAGTAAATCAACCCCCCTAATGTAATTTATTTAATGCACATGTGTCAAACAGAAGGCCCACAGGCCGAATCTGACCTGTCAGGCATTTTCATGCGACCCTCACACCCCTCCTGCAGACTGCGGCAAACCCCCCCTCATCTCTGCTGCCAACCTTGTCTCACCAGTAAGCAGCAGAGAGGAGGACAAAAACTCCTCTCTAGATCTTGCGCATCTCCATGCACAGCCTCAGAGAGGCTCGTCTCTGCCCCCCCCCTCCCCCATTACGGCAGCTAAACTACAGACTCCTCTGGTCCCTGTCCAGACCCTGCACTTTCTGCCTCCCAGCTTATTTCCAGCAGCAGTTAAAAGGTGGAGGGGGGGGGGACTCCAATCTTCTGATGATGGAGAGGGGCATTCAATGTAATGGGGGGATGGGGGGTGGTGTTGCTCTGGATATCTAGTCATACAACCAGCCTTTGAGGGCAACCATCATGTTGATGCAGCCCGTGATGAAATTGAGTTTGACACCCCTGATTTAGGGTTTACATGTATTACGTTTGCTTATGCATATGCATTTAATGATGATGCCTAATTTTTATTGGTGTTCTATAGACTCTTAACTCCATAGTTTGTTGGTGTTATGTAAAAAGTGATCTAAAAAAAGCATTGCAGCACTGTGTGTTACATAGTACATAGTTACATAATTAGTCTGGCTGAAAAAAAAGACAAAAGTCCATCCAGTTCAACCATGAAAAAAAAAAAAGTTATAATCCTATACCCCACAGTTGATCCAGGGGAAGGCAAAAAAACCAGCAAAGCATGATCCAATTTGCTCCTGCAGGGAAAAAAAATTCCTTCCTGATCCCCCGAGGGCAATCAGAATATTACCCTGGATCAACTGTTTACCTATAAATGTTAGTAACCAGTTATATTCTGTGTATCTAGGAAAGAATCCAGACTTTTTTAAAGCAATCCACTGAGCTGGCCAGAACCAACTCTTGAGGGAAGTCTATCCACATTTTCACAGCTCTTACTGTGAAGAAACCTTCCGTGTTTGTGAGATTACATTTATTTTCCTCCAGACGTAAAAGAGTGCCCCCTTGTCCTCTGTGATGACCTCAGGGTGAATAACTCTAAACTGAGTTCACTATATGAACCACTGATGTATTTATACATGGAGATCATATCCCCCCTTATGTATATACATGGAGATTCATATCCCCCTTATGTATATACATGGTGATCATATCCCCCCCTTATGTATTTATACATGGAGATCATATCCCCCCTTATGTATTTTATACAGGGAGTCATATCCTCCTTATGTATTATTACATGAGATCATATCCCCCCTTATGTATTATACATGGAGATCATATCCCCCCTTATGTATTATTACATGTTTGATACATGGAGATCATATCCCCCCTTATGCATTATACATGGAGATCATATCCCCCCTTATGTATTATACATGGAGATCATATCCCCCTTATGTATATACATAAAGTTCATATCCCTTCCTTATGTATTATACATGGAGATCATATCCCCCCTTATGTATTATACATGGAGATCATATCCCCCCTTATGTATTATACATGGTGAGATCATATCCCCCTTATGTATTATACATGGAGATCATATCCCCCTTATGTATTATTATGGAGATCATATCCCCCCCTTTTGTATTATACATGGAGATATCATATTATCATGGTGATCTCCCGCCTTATGTATTATACATGGAGATCATATCCCCCTTATGTATTATACATGGAGTCCATTTCCTTTCTTAATGTATTATACATCATTATATCCCCCCTTATGTTATTAATATGGAGTCATATCCCCAATTATACATGGAGATCATATCCCCCCCCTTAATGTATTATACATGGATGGAGACGATCATATCCCCCTTATGTATTATACATGGAGATCATATCCCCCCTTATGTATTATACATGGAGATCATATCCCCCCTTATGTATTATACATGGAGATCATATCCCCCCCCCATTATACATGGAGGATCATTATCCCCTTATGTATTATACATTATGGAGATCATATCCCCCCTTATGTATTATACATGGAGATCATATCCCCCCCTTATGTATTATATTTTCAATGGAGATCATATCCCCCCTTATGTATTATACATGGAATCATATCCCCCCTTATGTATTATACATGGAGATCATATCCCCCCTTATGTATTATACATGGAGATCATAATCCCCCCTTATATTATATACATGGAGATCATATCCCCCTTATGTAATTAAATACATGAAGATCATATCCCCCCTTATGTATTATACATGGAGATCATATCCCCCTATGTAATTACATGGTAGATCATATCCCCCTTTTTTATTATACATGGAGATCATATCCCCCTTATGTAATCATATACATGGAGATCATATCCCCCCTTATGTATTATACATGGAGATCCATATCCCCCCTTATGTATTATAAACATGGAGATCATATCCCCCTTATGGATTATACCATGTCAATTATGTACATACGATGGACATCATATCCCCCCTTATGTATTATACATGGAGATCATATTCCCCCCTTATGTATTATACATTATTATTATTATACAGGATTTATAATAGCACCAACAGTTTGCTCAGCGCTTTACAATATAACAGGAGACAATACAGCAACATTACAATTCAATACAAGAGGGATTAGAGGGCCCTGCTCCTCGGGCATGGAGATCATATCCATCATATTCCCCCTTATGTATTATACATGGAGATCATACCCCCCCCCCTTATGTATTATACATGGAGATCTTATCCCCCTTATGTATTATACATGGAGATCATATCCCCCCTTATGTATTTTACATGGAGATCATATCCCCCTTATGTATTATACATGGAGATCATATCCCCCTTATGTATTACTACATGGAGATCATATCCCCCCTTATGTATTATACATGGAGATCATATCCCCCCTTATGTATTATACATGGAGATCATATCCCCCCTTATGTATTATACATGGAGATCATATCCCCCCTTATGTATTATACATGGTGATCATATCCCCCCTCAATCTCCTCTTCTCAAGAGAGAATATATTCAGTTCCTCTAATCTTTCCTAACTGTGGTCTCAACTGGAGCAGCATAGTCTATGCAGCATTATTATTATTATATACAGGACTTATATAGCGCCAACAGTTTGCTCAGCGCTTTACAAAATGAATGATGGAATATACTTGTGTTACATAAACTGCTTAGATCCCAATTATTCTCCATAATAGTTCCCATACCTATATTCATTACCGTGCTACTATGCATTCTTTCTTCTCTGAGTTTACCTGCTTAAGTGCACTTTCAATGTTTGTGTTTAGATTTTCAGTGAGCACCTCCCTGTGTATCAGATTTTAAGCTCAACTTGCAGGCAGCAGTGATGGATGCCCTATTGTGCAGGCAGATACTTGCTTGCATGCATTTTAACAGATTGACTGTTGTTTTTAAGCTATGGACTCATGGGTGCTGAAAGAACACTATTGATTTACAATGTACAAGTGTCCCTCTGCTGTCATTAGGCCAATTTTTTTCCACACATTCCTCTGCCAGGCAGTCTATTTGGCTTTTACATGCCTTATGCTGGCTTGTAAAAATACACCAATAAAATCCTTTGCTCCTTTCTAAATTTCAAGAACAATAAATAATAAAAAAAAAGGGACAAATGCTCTAGTATTTGGTAGGGACAATTTATCACACCATGATTGGCTTTCCTCACTATTATTGTATAAATAATGTCAATTGCTACACTGTTTATAACTTTCTTTGAGATCTGCTGGGAACCTACATAGAATATTCAAATATTGTTCCATTAGATGTTAGACTGAAATGTTTGATTTCAAGTGAGTTTAATTCCAACAGTTAAAAGTTCATTTACAATTTCTGAATGGGTTCTTGACCCAGATGTAAGTTAAGGATAATTATTTGTATATATTGTGTATATCTCCATTCACTGTATTTACTATGATATAAACAAGAAATTATAACTTTATGTGAATAGGGAGTAAAAGACCAAAAAGCCCTCCAAGCGTAGCATAGGCTCAACTGCGTAGCCTTCTTAGAACATGTCTCATTCCAAAACATATTCAGAAAATTAGAAGTCCTAATTTAGGGCAGGGGGTGCAGCCATGCAATCATAACCTATTTTTTCTCAGAGATTAGGTGCAGGAGCTCCCTTGTACTGAGTCACCCCTTGTCTTTACCGCCTACCCACCTCTGAGCAGCATTCCTTGGTTCCAACCCCTACCCACCTCTGAGCAGCATTCCTTAGTTCCACCTCCTACCCATCTCTGAGCAGCATTCCTTGGTTCCACCCACTACCTACCTCTGAGCAGTGTTCCTTGGTTCCACCCCTACCCACCTCTGAGCAGCGTTCCTTAGTTCTACCCCCTACCCACTTCGGATCATGGTTCCTTGGTTCTACCCCTTACCCATCTCTATGTAGCATTGTTTGTTTCCACCCCTACCCACCTCTGAGCATCGTTCCTTGGTTCCACCCCCTACGGACCTCTGAGCA